AGACTGGGGTGTCTGGATAGACAGACTGGGGTGTCTGGATAGACAGACTGGTTTTGCTTCATGCCACCCGCTTCTAGCACAAGGCTTTACTCCCTCTCTGGTTAATAACAAACCATCTGCCCTTAACTATGGGCTACTACCCTACGACTAAAGGAACCCATGAAAATGGACATTTCTAGCAGCAGAAGCAATGAGACAGGGGTGTTGAAGCATGCGGACCCCTACAGGTGCTTTTTCCACCTATGGATGGTTCTTGACCCTACACCAAAGGCAGGTAGGAGAATCAGGCTCGAGGGCTAAGCCTTGCTGGACAATTGTCTAGAGTCACTTGGAGAGATCCAACTTTGGGGGACTCGGGTCTGCTGGGGTCCTGTGACCCACTGGGTCACTTACCTACACATCTGGCAGGTGGCAGTGGTGGCCCCAACCTGTAAGCAGACTCTGCTCAGCTCTGTCCAAGGGGACCCTTTGTTGTATCAGGGTGACAGCGCACTCTAGACTATTGACACCTATAACTATGAATGCTCCCTGCAGACACTGTGTGACATGGTGGACCTGAGGTACCCTAGGGAAGCTGGCCACAGCGCTGCAGAGTGGAAGCTCACAGATGTTCAGTCAGACGGGGCAGAAAGAGATGCCTCTCACAGTGAAGGAAGACACTTGCAGTAAGCAAAGACAAGGGACACGCAGGAGAAAGAGGCGTACTCACCGGGCCTTGGCGCCACTGAACCTGTCCTAGAAGGGAGCAGAGGGAGTGGTCAGTACAGCTGGGGCTCCCCCTGCCCAGAGTCCTGCATCTCTAGAGGCTGAACAGTCATAGGTGCCTGAGGCTCCTCTGGGACCAAGTCTCACCATGGCAAGGTAGATGAGCTGAGCCCTTTTGCCTCTCTGGAGCCTAGGAGCTGCCACAAATGTCCTGGGGGACAAGGGCCAATTGTTTCTGTTATTTGCATATTCTAAGTATTGGGAAGGTGTCCGCCTCTACCTGTGGTCTACCACCCCAAATGGACTTTGTCCAGGACACTCCCAGGGCCCCCTGCTCTCCCCCTCACGGCTGTGGTCTCCAGCTCTTCTGCTGAGCTAGAAGAAAGGCCCATGTTCGGGTCTCGGGTAGAATCGCCTTTGTAGATCTGCATGGGTTACATGAGTGGACGGATCCCTGGCAGTCACTTTTCCTGGTCCTTTACTCTTGTTTTCACTTGTTTGGTGGGTGGTGATCACCAATCAAAGAAGTTAAAGGTTAGGGAAAATCCAGAAACTCTCCTATTTCAAGTGGCTGCTTTATTCTCTAATGGAGGTGTCTATCATTCATCTATCAAACTGGGTGTGGTGGCGCATACCTTTAATCCCAGCACTCAGGAGCCAGAGACAGATCTCTGTGAGTTTGAGTCTAGCCTGGTCTACAGAATGAGTTCCAGGACAACCAGGGATACACTGAGAGACCCTGTCTCTAAAAGAGCAGCCAACCAACAAAACAGCAACAAAAGAAATCTATCCACCATCTAGGACCCACTAGTCTCTGTTCCAGGTGGCGCGGAGGCTCCAGAAAACAGCAAGCCTTGCGTGTGCCATTTCCTCGCTGGACTCCCAAAACAGCTTCCTGATGCAAGCGCCAGTGTCACGGTCACTGTCGAAGGAGGATGCTCAGCCTGTTAAGTCACCTCTCGCTGCAGGAGCGGTGCCAACACCGAGAGGCTTAAACAACAGAGATCCCATTTCCTCCCAGTTCCGGAGGACAGAGGCCAAGACGGGGCTTGGTTTCTGGTGTGGCCTCCGTTCCCGGCTTGGATTCCACCACTCTTTGTGTGGTCTCATGCCTGTGGGCACAGAGGGAGGCTGAGCTGGGCCTCATTTCTTCGTATAAAGACACAAGAGCACAGCATCAGGGCCTTACTCTTGCGACCCCACTTAATCACCTCCCTAAATGCTCTATGCCCACTGACAGCCACTAGGTCTAGAAGAGGGGAAGCCCCACTCAGTCCTTAATGTTGAGGCTCTGAGAAACTGCATCAAGTTTCCTGGGCTGGGGAGGAGCTCAGTCGACAGAGCACTTGCCTAGCACACACAGAGCCCTGTCTTCGATCCCCTCGCACCCTCTAAAAACTAAAGGTGGTGGTGGTGGTGCACACCTGTAATTCCCGCAGGAAATTCGAACTCAAGGCCGTCCTCGGCTGCTTATCACATTCAAGCCCAGCTAGAGCTACTGAAAGACCCTGTCTCAATAAACAAAGAACAAAATTTTTAGATGCCTCGAAAAGTCACTAGGGTAACTCAGTAGGGAGCCCAGGTGGAAGTGGTGGGAATGGAGAAGATGTAGGATCAATCCACCTTTAACTAGGTTCCACCGGGCTCAGCGCTCTTCCCTATTCGAACCGAGACAAGGAGCGATCTTTCTCATTGCCTCCTGCGTATACAAGAGGAGAGCAAGGTCTGGAATCACTAACTATGGGAGCAGAGTCTACAGGTCAGACTGAGTGGAACATTCTAGATACCACCCCAGACCAAGCTGAACTGACAGAACTTCCCAGCGGCACCACTCTCCCACCCTCATCTCAGCTACTCTTTCCTGCTCAAACCTTTGCATAGGCAAATTGCAGGGTCTGGGAGCAGGGAAGGACCACAGGGAGGAGGACAGGGTCTTTGTCTTCTCCATAGCTGTGCAGAGGTGAAGGGGGAGGGGAGCAAGGGACCTGCTTCAGCAGCCTCGTCAGAGGGGGGATTTGAATGTCCCATTTCTCTGACTGGGATCACTGTGCACACCATGACAGTCCTAGGTGGGATTCCAAGGGCTCCCATTCTGAAGGTTGACATCCTCACTGGCAGCACCGAACGTCCATTTCATAGTGTTTTCAGAGCACAAAGTGAGTCCTCAGATTTCTGAGGTCTCATCTACTGATATCCAATGTGAGCAGCCCATAATTTAGGCCAGGATAGTCAGTTAACCCTTAGGGAACTCAAAGCCAGTTCCTCCACTTGCCCTGCCACTGGAGGGCTTATTTAAAAAGTCTTAGGTCCCCAGATGCTCTCCGAGACTACAAGAATTAGATGCCCCAGGCAAGAGCTGGGGTTCACACTATCTATAATGGCATCATCTCCTCTGAAGTCAAGTCTGAGGAGTCTTGCTCAATAGAAGATCCGGGTACGGCTTCTCATAGGCCATTCTCCTATAGGCCTTAGCTCGTTAATACAGGGCTCCCCTGCAGAGGCAGAATGACAGAGACCTAGCCCCTGAAGGCTGCAGGAGTGACGGAGACAGCAAAGAGAAGGTTAGCTTCTCTAAACTTTGTTTCCTTTTGTGTGGACGGGAACATTAGCAGAACAGTTCACACGGTGCAGAGGTGCCTCAAGACTGCAATCCCAGCTTGAGGCAGGAGGATCGCGGAGAATTTCAGACCTGCCTGCCCTGCTACGATGTGAGATTAAATCTCAAAACAAACAATAAAACCCAGAAGACATCAGTCACTGGCAGCACTTTCTGGGGGCTCAATTAGCTAATGACATGTATCAGCTCACCTGAACTCAGGACGCCATACCTGAAGCCGTAGTTGCCCCAAAATGGAGGAAGTGGCTAGGTTGGGTTTAGGTCCTGGTATCAGCAGAGAAAAGGCAGCAAATGGAAGGTCTGGGGTGGCTTCTGTGGACCTGAAGGAACACAGGTGAGCAGGCTGTGGCCTAGGGTCTCAGGGAGTGCAGTGTGTAGAGCCGGAGCCTCTGAGGCGCTGATGTCTGGGCTCCCGGAAGACTGAGGGAAACAGAAATCAACCTCCTGGGCTACTGGGCATGTCAGTTATCTTTCGGGGGGTGGTAACCACGCTAAGAATGTTTCCTTCAATTCACAGAAGTCAGGCACCTTCCAAGCCTGCTAGACAGACAGGTGCTGGCATTGTGCCAGCAAGATGCCCTGTGCCAGGCCTTAAGCCAGAAGTGGGTCCTAAGAGAAATGTCCCTGAGGCAGCAGAGTGACAGACAGACTCTCTCCAGAGGTTGCTGGGGCTGAGAGAGGTAGTCAGATGGTCAGTGCTGGCAAAGACTATGTCTGTACCGAGCACGCCTCTTCCAGATCAGCTTGGCCAGGACCTTTGGTACATTGTTTCTAGAAGATTCTCTGGTCTTTCTGGAGATGCTGTGAGCTATAGAATATTTTTGCCCTCCAGATTTATTGAGCACAAGATTCTGAACACAGTGTCCTGAACCTGCTGCTTCTAAACATGAGACCAGCCTGGGCTACATTAAGACCTTGCCTCAAAAACCAGACGAAACCGTCCTGTGGCAGTAATGCCCCCTGTAAACTTAGAATTTGGGAAGAGGAATCAGGAAGATCAGGAGTCAGGGTCATCCTTGGCTATTTACTCAGTTCAAGGCCAGCCTAAGCTACAAGAGAACCTATTCCAAAACAGGGTGGTTGAGATGACTCTTCAGATAAAGTCGCTTTCGATAACCTGTTCGATACCCAGAACCCACATGAAGGAGAGAAACAGCTTCCACAAAGGTGTCCTCTGATCTCTATGTGCTCTCTGGCACACACACACACACACACACACACACACACACACGAAATAATGTCAGGTTGGGGAGACAGATTAGCAGGTAAGAGGGTCTGAGTTTGGTTTCCAACATCCTCGTCAGATGGTTCCCAACAACTTTTTAAACAAGTGTTTATTTATGTATATATTTTATGTATATGGCTGTTTTGTCTGCATGTACATTGGCACACCAGAAGAGGATATTGGATCCCATGAGACTACAGTTACAGACACTGTGAGCCACCTTGTGGATGGTGAGATTTGAACTCAGGGCCTCTGGAAGAGCAGCTAGTGCTCTTAACTGCTGAGTCATCTCTTCAGCCCCAGCAACCACTTCTAATTCTAGCTCCAGAGGATCCAGTGCCCTCTTCTAGATGAACACACACACAACCTAAAATAATTAATAAATATTTTTAGTCAATCAAGCTGGGCATGGTAGCTCATGCCTTTAATCTCAGCACTTGAGAGACTAAGGAAGAGGCAGGCAGGGCTCTGTGAGTTCCAGGCTAGCCTGGTCTACATAGCAAGTTCCAGGACAGCCATGGCTACATAGTGAGACCTTGTATCAAACAACAACAAAAACCAATCAGCCAATATTCCTCCCTTGGAGCCCCTCCCACTATTAGGTGTTCTCTCTCACTTTTTCTTAATAAAATTATGCTTGCTTTGCTTCTGTTATTGTTGTTGCTGCTTGTGGGCAGCTACACTGACCCGAGACTTTCACAGAGGCCCTGATGGAAGGACAAAGGGAACTTTAGTTCCGTGTCCTTGTCCAGCCTCGCAAGGCTGGGCCAGAGCTGGAGGCAGGGCTCAAAGAAGTCAAGGTTTCAGCGTCTGGGGACCCGAATCTTTCCCCTCGGCTGTGGCTATCAGTCCTAAGGCAGCCGTGCCAGAGACATACAGTGTTCTCTTTGTCAGCTCCCTGCTGACCTTGTCCCGCCCCCCCCCCATGAATAGCAATGAACTTGCTTGCCATAGTCAGCCATTTATGGGAGACCTCCTGACCCAGCCGTGGCTTTGTCTTCTCTATTTCTCGTCTTAGTCCTCCCATTTGACACTCAGTCCCTTACGCTTGCTGGAGGTCAGCTGTTGTGGTGGTTTTTGACACAGGATCTCACTGTGTAACCCTGGATGGCCTGGAACTCGCTGTGTAGACCAGGGTAGTCTTGAACTCACGAGATCTGCCTGCCTCTGTCTCCCGAGTGTCAGGATTAAAAGTGAGTGATGTCGCACCCAACTGTTTTTGTTTTTGTTTTTGTTTTTAAGTCAAAGTCAGTCAGTAAGGCATAACGGTGTACCTCTGCAACCCCAGGAGCTGGCAAATGGAGGCAGGAGGTTCAAGACTACCCTCTGCTACATAGCAAGTTCAAGGTCAGTGTGGGTTACATGAGACCCTGTCCCAAAGCAAAACAGAAGTCAATCAATCAATAAATAAAAACAAAACAGGAGGAGAGAA